ATGGTTAGTCAGTGTAAAAGTATGTGCTTTGGATCTCTGTTGCCACCAAATCTCGAATCAAATTGTAATCCCTGGCCGGGTGCAGTGGTTCATGCCTGTAATCCCAGCACTTTGGGAGACCAAGGCGAGTGGATCACTGAGGTCAGGAGTTCGAGACCAGCTTGGCCAACATGGTGAAACCCTGTCTCTACTAAAAATATAAAAATTAGCCATGCATGGTGGCAGGCTCCTGTAATCCTAGCTACTCGGGATGCTGAGGCAGGAGCATCGCTTAAACCGGGAGGCAGAAGTTGCAGTGAGCCAAGATGGTGCCATTGCACTCCAGCCTGGGCAACAGAGTGAACTCTGTCTCAAAACAAAAACAAAAACAAAGCTTTTATAATCCCCCAGGTTGGAGGTGGGCTAGGTGGGGGATGACTGGATCACGGGGGCAGTTTCTCATGGTTTAGCACCATCCCCACAGCACTGTCATCAGCGCGAGTGGGTTCTCATGAGACCTGGCTGTTTAAAAGTGTGTGGCACCTCCCCTGCCTCACTCTTCCTCCCGTTCCTGCAACATAAGATGCCTCCTCCTGCTTTACCCTCTGCCACGACAGTAAGCTCCTTGAGGCTGCCCCAGAAGCAGATGGCATTGTGCTTCCTGAACAGCCTGCAGAACTATGAGCCAATTAAACCTCTTTTCTTTATAAATTACCCAGCCTCAGGCATTTGTTCATAGCAGTGCAAGCACTGACTAATACCACCGATCTGAAGCATCATGGCAGCTTCAGGGAGTCCTGTGGGGTCAGTGGAGACCTCACTGAGGCTGCATTCCAGCCCAACTCCTTCCTTTGCCCTGCATCTGTCCCTTTTCTTTCCTTTTCCTTTTCTTTACTTCCCTTCCCATGTGCTGATCCTGAAAGTTCTCTCCAGTCAACGCTCTACATGCTAATCTCAAAATCAGCTTCTCTAAAAGCTGAACTGCGAGAGGCACTCAGGCAATTTTTGCCTCCTAAGACACGTTTCTTCTCCACAGCTGCTACATTGATCAAGACTCATCATTTTTCGAAGAAAATTTCTGAAAATCAAGGAATCCAATGACTGCATATTTGAATTCAAGTCACTTTTTCACATGTGTATAAAACCTTCACAATTCTATGAGAAGACAGATTTCAAAATGAGCCCCTGAAGTCTTGGTAGCGGAAGCAGATAAGCTGTTACATAAACTGTGGGAGAACTTCGAGTACTGCAAACAGGTGCTCAGTAAATTACTGTTGAGCTGGATAAAAACAATTTTCTTTCCTTCTTTTTTTAGAGACAGGGTCTCTCTCTGTCACTCAGGCTGGAGTACAGTGGTGCAATCATGGCTCACCCCAACTTCCAGCTCCTGGGCTCAAGCCATCCTCCTGTCTCAGCCTCCCAAGCAGCTGGGACTACAGGCATGCACCAACATGCCAGGCTAATATTTTGATTTTTTTTTTAAATAAAGACAAGGTCTTACTCTGTTGCCCAGGCTGGTCTTGAACCCTTGGCCTCAAACAATCCACCAGCCCCAGCCTCCCAAAGTGCTGGAATTACAAACATTAGCCACCGTGCCTGGCCCCTAACATATTTTCAATAGATTTATTTGGCGTTCATGGTTAGATGAAGGCTGAATCTCTTTCTCCCTCTTTCTCTGCCTTTCCTTTTGTTTCTCCTGGTCCCTCTGTTTTTTTCTCATTGTCTTTCCTCATTTCCTTTATTGTTTCCCTTTTTCAGTCTCTCTCCATTTTATTTCTCACTATTCCAATCTCTGCCTTGGCTCTTCTGTTCCCCTCCTAAAATTGATCATGAGTAGAAACTGATGCAAGTAGAAATAGAAAGTACTGAGCAGGAGGGCTCAGGTTTGATGACAGCTTTGCCAAGGGATGAGCCCATGTGTCGAGTTTCGAGAGGCAGAGGGGCAAATCCAGGTGAAGGCAAAAGTCAATGAAAGAGGTACCAGGGAGTAGACCTGAACTACTCAGATTCCATTTCTTCTTTTTTTTCCCTTCTTCCTTCCTTTCCTTCCTTCCTTTCTTCCTTCCTTCCTCCCTCCCCTTCCTTCCTTCCCTCCCTCCCTCTTTCCTTCCTTCCTTCCTTCCTTCCTTCCTTCCTTCCTTCCTTCCTTCCTTCCTTCCTTCCTTCCTTCCTTCCCTCCTTCCCTCCTTCCCTCCTTCCTTTCCTTCCTTCATTTCTCTCTTTTTGATGGAGTCTCGCTCTGTTGCCCAGGCACGGGAGTACAGTCGTGTGATCTTGACTCACTGCAACATCCACCTCCTTCCTGGGTTCCAGTGATTTTCCTGCCTCAGCCTCCCGAAAATCTGGGACTACAGGTGTGCATCACCATGCCCAGCTAATATTTGTATTTTGGTTTTTTAGATGGAGTCTTGCTCTGTCACCCAGGCTGGAGTGCAGTGGCACAATCTCTGCTGACTGTAACTCCGCCTCCGCTTCCCAAGTTCAAGTGATCTCCTGCATCAGCCTCCTGAGTAGCTGAGATTACAGGCACTCACCACCACGCCTGGCTAATATTTTTATTTTTAGTAGAGACAAGGTTTCACTATGTTGGTCAGGCTGGTCTCAAACTCCTGACCTTGTGACCCACCCACCTCAGCCTCCCAAAGTGCTGGGATTACAGGTGTAAGCCACCGCACCCAGCCTAATTTTTGTATTTTCAGTAGAGACAGGGTTTCACCATGTTGGCTAGGCTGGTCTCAAACTCCTGACCTCAGGTGATCCCAAAGTGCTCGGATGACAGGTGTGAGCCACCACGCTCAGCCTTGACTCCATTTCTTATGCTACAGGCACCATACCAGGTTCCTGGAGGTACAGAGAGAAAAGACAGAATCTTACCTCTTCATGCATGGGAGTTGACTGGGAAAGTCAGTATACAATGATGAGAGCAAAGAAAAGGAAGCAGGACGCAGGGGAGGCTTCAAGATGAAAGGACATTTGAATGGACTCAGACAGGAGGCGAGGGTGAGAGCACAGACAAAGGTGTGGAGGTGTGGGTGAGCAGGGTTCACCTGAGGCCCTGAGCCAGGCCTGGGCATCGGGTGTGAGGGAGCAGGGGCAGGGGTGGATCTGGGAAGCTGTTGAGGTCAGATCATGAAAGACCCTCAATGCTAGGCCTGGGGTTGTTGGAAGTTACTCCTGGGAGTGGAACCTATGACTGGCTTCACTGAATAGAATCGGAATCTTAGAAAGATCTCTCTGGGACCAGAATACAGGCTGGATCGGCAGGGACAGAAGCAGTGAAGGCAGTTAGGGGGTGACTGCAATGTATCAGGCACAGGATGCCGATAGTGTGAACTGAGGATGGAGCTGGAAGTAGATAGGTGGATGGAGAAGAGGGGCCTGAATGAGAGATTGGGAAGAGGACTCAGAGAACTGGAAAGCAAACAGGATATGGAGGCAAGGGAGCATTGTTAAACACCCCTCTGTGTGCCTCTCACACTCTGAAACATCTTGGCATGCCAAGGAAGCACGGCCCTGAGCATGCATGACTGGGGCCATTCTTGCAGGTCATGTCTGCAGTAAGGCAACCTTGAGGGATGAGGTAATGTCTCCCTGTGGGAGCAAGAGCAGGCTTGCTTACTGCTTACTATAAAAACTGGTGGATGCCCTGGGCTCATTGTTCCTCAGCTGTGGTGCAAACCACTGTATGTGGAGCCTTTACCTGGGCTCTCTGTGGCACACCTGTGGGACAGGGAGGACCAACAGAACCCATGCGAACATAACGTTCATGCTGCTCACTGCTTTGTGAGTAAAGTTGTTTTTGACCCAAGAATCTCATCTTTTACTATGAAACAGCAGAGTCTTCTATTCCATAAGTCACAGGCTAACTTATTAGCTGCTAATCTGGGGGAAAATAAATCCCACACTGGTCAAGGAAAAGGAGAATTTCTGGCTTGAGTGACTTGGTATAAAGTAGTGCCTCTCACCGTGGGAGGAACAGGTGTGTAGGAGCAAAAGGCTGAGGTCAGTTTTATACATGGTGATTGTGTTTTCCTGCCGAATAGGTGTGGTCATTGTATACAGGGATTGATCACTGGAGCTCACAGACCTGTTGGCAAATTCTGTCCCTAAATGAAGCAGGTATAGAAACCCCTAGAGGTTGGTCAGTCTCACATCCCAGCCATCCACCATGATCCGTTAGTATATTCTGCTAGCACCTTCCTATAGGGCAGGTGGAAAATAAATGTTGTTTTTTGTTTTGTTTTGTTTTGTTTTGTTTTTGAGATGGAGTTTTGTTCTTGTTGCCCAAGCCAGAGTGCAGTGGTGCAATCTCAGCTCACTGCAACCTCCACCTCCTAGGTTTAAGTGATTCTCCTGTCTCAGCCTCCTGAGTAGCTGGGATTACAGGTGCCCACCATCACACCTGGATAATTTATTTTTGTTTATTTTTAGTAGAAGCAAGGTTTCACCATGTTAGCCAAGCTGGTCTCGAACTCCTGACTTCAGATGTTCCACCTGCCTCAGCCTCCCAAAGTGCTAGCTTACAGGTGTTAGTTAGCCACTGTACCTGGCCATGAAAATAAGTCTTAAAAGAACCTGAGTAATGTGAATAACCAGTTGAAATGTATTCATTTTATGTATCCTATTAAACATGCAGCATTACACAGTGACCTCAACTGTACCAAGAAAACCAGGTTTTTGGGAACGCCATGGACCCCTCTCTCCTTTCTCAGTCCTGGTGGTTCCAGGGGAGAACAACTGAAGGAAGGAAAAAGGCAACTGGGGTAGGGGAGGAAGGTGACAGCAGGGGAAAGAACAAATCCAGGACATTTTCTTCTTAGGCAAGGAATCCATGTCTATTGCCAGCCTTGCCCATATAGCAAGGGTTCAATAAAAGGTTTTGAATATATTCATTTTGGTTTTTGTTCATCCATTACACAATCCTATATAATTCCTCTTCATACTATGGCAACTAAAATTTTAATACTTTTTTTTCCCTTTAAGTCACAGATTCAACTGATAAAATAGCTCTGGTCACTTACCCTGTCATTCAAGAGCTGATGGTTTAAGGGTGTCCAAGTGCTCATCTTTGTCTGCATTTTAGGACCATCTGTGTTTTTTGGAGGTGCAAATGCCATCATGAAACAACTGGATATCCTTCCATAAGAAAGACAACACTTATCAGAAGAAGTGAATCATATGACTCTCAGAATACAAAAAATATGAACACTGGCCAGGCACAATGGCTCATGCCTGTAATCCAAGCACCTTGGGAGGCCAAGGCAGGAAGATCACTTGAGGTCAGGAGTTTGAGACCAGCCTGGCCAACATGGCGAAACCCCATCTGTACTAAAAATACAAAAATTAGCTGGGCGTGGTGGCACATGCCTGTAATCCCAGCTAATCTGGAGGCTGAGGCAGGAGAATTGCTTGAACTCAGGAGGCAGAGGTTGCAGTGAGCTGAGCTCGTGCCATTGCACCTCAGTCTGGGCAACAAGAGAGAAACTCTGTTTAAAAAAAAAAAGAGCCCAGCGTGGTAGTGCATGCCTGTAATCACAGCTACACGAGAGACTGAGGCAGGGGAATCACTTGAACCCGGAAGGTGGAGGTTGCAGTGAGCCAAGATAGTACCACTGTACTCCAGCCTGGGCAGCAGAGCAAGACTCCATCTCAAAAAAAAATGCTAATACCATATAATTTTTCAGTATGTTGGCAGAGGGAATGGGTGGGAAGAGCATTTACTGGGAGCATCTTATATGTCAAGCACTTCATACATCTGCTCAAAGGAAGCATACAACTATCAGGTGAGGTGGCAGTTTCTAACTCGTTTTTCACATGAAGAAAATTCGGCTCATTGACTTTACCCTGTCTGAGGTCATACAGAGAACAAATGGTGGAAGTGGTAGTCAGACCCAGATCAGTTTAATTTCACTGGACTCTGGTGGAAATCCAAAATCACTCCTAGCCAATATACTATATTTCTACTTTATTTTCACTGGACTCTGGGGGAAATCCAAAATCACTCCTAGTCAATGTACTATATTGGCCAGAAAGAAAAGTATTTTAAATCTAAAATCATAGTGCAATATAAAAAACTTCATTCTTGTCCCTTGTGATACTAACTCTCCTTCCTTCCTTCTTAACTTCCAGATATCCAAATAACAGGAACTCCTGCCTAACAGCATATTAAAGAGGTAACATGGTGGGAGAGACAAAGCCAAGGCTTTAGAGATGAACAGATTGGAGTTTATCGGGGGAAATTTGCTATTTTTAGTTAGTTGGCATATGTCTGCCTCCTTTTGATGAAAACACTTTAGTTTTCAGGAGGAATGACTTTTCCCTTCATTGTTTAGAGCCTGATGGTTTAATTAATTAAGGTAGCCTGTCCTTGCCTAGCCAAGAGATGGTCATGAGACCAACCTAGGCCAGCTGGGCTGACAATAGCTTATTCTTATTCTTATTTTATTGATTTAATTATTTATTTTGAGATGGAGTCTTGCTCTGTCATCCAGACTCCAGTGCAGTAGTGCCACTCTGCAACATCTACTTCTCAGGTTCAAGCAATCCTCCTGCCTCAGCCTCCCGAGTAGCTGGGGTTACAGGTGCGTGCCACTACACCTGTCTAATTTTGTTTTTTGGTTTTTTTTTAGGAGAGATGGGATTTTGCCATGTTAACTAGGCTGGTCTCAAACTCCCAGCCATAAGTGATCTGCCCGCCTTGGCCTCTCAAAATGTTGGGATTACAGGTGTGAGCCACTGTGACCGCCACTATTTCACAGGTGAGGTGGTCATTCAAAGTAGCATTGTTAACCTGGGCAGACTGTCCAGTTGTCCGTGCTACTTCACTGCCCCTCCCCACTCCCTACAAAAGCCCCATGTCCTTTCTAACATGGGGCTAACGTAAGCAAATAGGAAACTTACTGCGATATCCTTGCAAAAAACTTTCTATTTGCTTACATTAGCTAGCATCTGTTTCTGTTGTTTGCAACTATTTTTTTTTTTTTTTTACTTTATGCAGGTTTAATCCTGGTCCTGGCCTGTACTAACTGTGTAACTTTATGCCAGTTATTTAATCTACCTGAGACTCAGTTTCCTCATCTGTAAAATGAAGATGTATACCACCACCCTCAACTGCTGTATCAAAGATTAGAGAAAAAGGGTCCAGCAGAGGGCCTGACATGCAGGTGGTCTCGATAAGCGAGAACCTCCCTGCAGCTTTTCTTAGAACTTGTCAATTGCAGAGTGCCTCAAAACCTGTCCTTCGAGGCCAGGCATCGTGGCTCACGCCTGTAATCCCAGCATTTTGGGAGGCCAAGGCAGGCAGATCTCCTGAGGTCAGGAGTTGGAGACCAGCCTGGCCAATATGTTGAAACCGCATTTCTACTAAAAACACAAAAATTAGCCGGCATACTGGCACATGCCTATAATACCAGCTACTCAGGAGGCTGGGGTGGGAAAACTGCCTGAACCCCAAAGGCAGAGGTTGCAGTCAGCTGAGATCGCACCATTGCACTCCAGCCTGGGCAACAAGAGCGAAACTCTGTCTCAAAAAAATAAATAAATAAAAACAAGAACAAAAAAACCTGTCCTTTGGAGGGCCATGACAAAATATTTCAAGGTGCAAGACATTTTTGGCAGATTGAGAGTAGTTTTGATATATACACTTCTGCCTTTTCCACTCTCTGATGGTGGGTTTCATAGAGACACATAGCAGAGATGGTTAAGGGGACCTGGGCCTGCTTGCCTGATCAATGGGCTCCACGAATGACCCCACAGCAAGAGACTGGATTTTTTATTTTTTTGAGAGGCTTGTCTCCCAGGCTGCAGTGCAATGGCGCAGGCATGGCTCACTGCAACCTCCACTTCCCAGGTTCAAGCGCTTTTCCTGCCTCAGCCTCCTGAGTAGCTAGGACTACAGGCACCTGCCATGTCTGGCTAATTTCTGTATTTTTAGTAGAGATGGGGTTCAACCATGTTGGCAAGCCTGGTCTCAAACTTGTGACCTCATGTGATCTGCCCACCTCAGCCTCCCAGATTGCTGGGATTACAGGCACAAGCCACTGTGCCCAGCCTTAGATAATTTTTTTAATAATTATTTTTTGGCTGTTATGGGATTTTCCCAAACACTATCTGAAATATTTGAGGTTCTCATTTGACATATAATATTCTCTCTCAAAAAAATAAAGCCCACATTTTAAAATAGGGTTTAAGCGATTCTCCTGCCTCAGCCTCCCTAGTAGCTGAGATTACAGGCCTGAGCCACCAGGTCTGGCTAATTTTGTATTTTTAAAGAGATGGGATTCACCACGTAGGTCAGGCTTATCTCAAACTCCTGATCTCAGATGATCCACCCACCTCACCCTCCCGAAGGGCTGGGATTAGAGGCATGACTCTAGATCTGCCCAGCTAAAAAGTGATGTATTTGCTTTTGTTGTTGTTATTTGACACCTCCAGGGTGTGAAGACAACACCTTCCAGCAGTTGCCTGCTGCCACTATCCCACTGGAATGAGGCGTGCTCAGATCAGCAGTCAGTTCTTCTCAGCCCCAACAGCTAACTATCAGTCACATTTAGGTGAGTTACTAAGGCAAAAGAAATGATTTCATTACAGTAATATTAATTTGCAGCTAATGATAAAAGTACATGTGAGCAGGCAAGTTATGGATACAGGTTGCGCATGGTGGCTCACGCCTGTAAGCGCAGCACTTTGGGAGGCAGGATCACCTGAGGTCAGGTGTTCGAGACCAGGCTGACCAACATGGTAAAACTCTGTCTCTACTAAAAATACAAAAATTAGCTAGGCATGGTAGCACACCCGTAATCCCAACTACTCAGGAGGCCGAGGCAGGAGAATTGCTTATACCTGGGAGGTAGAGGTTGCAGTGAGCTGAGGTTGCACCACTGCACTCCAGCCTGGGCAACAGAGCAAGACTCTGTCTGAAAAAAAAAAAAAAAGTTATAGATACAAAGTGTAGCCACGGAGTCTAGATCTACCCAGCTAAAAAATGATATATTTGTTTTTGTTGTTGTTATTTTCCACATTTCTTTCTTCTGTTTTTTGGACGCAGAGTTTTGCTGTTGTTGCCCAGGCTGGAATACAATAGCATGATCTTGGCTCACTGCAACCTCTGCCTCCTGGGTTCAAGCGATTCTTCTGCCTCCCTAGTAACTGAGATTACAGGCATGCACCACCACGCCCAGCTAATTTTATATTTTTAGTAGAGACAGGATTTCACCATGTTGGTCAGGTTGGTCTCAAACTTCTGACCTCAGGTGATCCACCAGCTTCAGCCTCCCAAAGTGCTGGGATTACAGGCATGAGCCACCACACCCAGCCTACATTTCTTTTTTTTTAAAACTAGTTATTTTGTTGCCTGTAATCCCAGCACTTGGGACGCTGAGGCAGGAAGACTGATTGAGCCCAGGAATTTGAGACCAGCCTGGGCAACATCGTGAGACCTTGTCTCTAAAAAAAAGTTTAAAAACCCCAAAAATTTAGCTGGGCATAGTAGTGCACACCTGTGGTCCCAGCTGCTTGGGGTGGGGGCAGAGGGCTGAGGTGGGAGAATCACTTGGGACCAGGAGGTTGAGGCTGTGGTGAGCCATGATTGCACCACTATACTCCAGCCTGGGCAACAGAACAAGACCCTGTTTTTAAAAACTAATAAAAACATACAAAATAAACGAGTTGTTTTGAGTCCTTTCTTAAGAGCCACATGGCTCTTGGAAAACATGACAAAAGCTATGAATTATCCCCCTAGAAAAATGCACATACACATAAAATTTTGCTTACCCCTGCTCTATGCTGAGCAACTCTCTCCGTTCATAGTTTGTGTAGGAAACAATGTGACTGATCCTAGGCACAACTTCTGAATGAGGGCAAGTAGCTTTCCCTGGTCACTCCTCGCAGGGCCTGCACTGGTTGTTTTCTTTTTCCTGGTTCTTCGGAGCTATATGTCACTTGGATTAGACTTTCTTCCAACCTGCTTGAAGATGGGTTTTCAGCCGAGGGGCCCTGCCCGGGAAGCAGCCCTCTTGGTCATGTAGGCCTGCTGCCAGGGTGGATGTTCTGCCCTGTCTCTTGCTGTTATCCTTTCACAGTATTTTCTTCCTTTCTCCATTCCAGAAGACAGGCAGTGTGTGTATTTGCAAGCACATACATGTTCACAGAAGAGACCACTTGCTACTATTAAGAAGACAGGGGTTTATTTTGGTATTTTTTGTTTTTCTTTTTGAGATGAAGTCTCTCTCTGTTACCCAGGCTGGAGTGCAGTGGCGCGATCTCGGCTCACTGCAACCTCTGCCTTCCAGGTTCAGGCGATTCTCCTGCCTGTCTCCTGAGTAGCTGGGATTACAGGCATGCACCACCACGCCTGGCTAATTTTTGTATTTTTAGTAGAGATGGGGTTTCCCCATGTTGGTCAGGCTGGTCTTGAACTCCTGACCTCAAGTGATCCACCCGCCTTGACTTCCCAAAGTGCTGGGATTATAGGCGTGAGCCACCGCGCCCAGCTACAGAGATTTTCTTTCTTTCCTCTTCTTTTCTCCAGATCCTGTCTTAAAGTTTTATCTGATACAGAGATTTTTATTTAATACATACAAAACATAATTGTCCCCACTTCATCAACAAAACAAAGCAAGTTGTCATTCCCTCCTTCCACAGTTGCTTTTTTGTGATCTCCTTCCCTGTAAGGATTACCTTTACATAGTCATCTTTAATTTTTCTTAGAATGAAAATACAGAAAGAGGGCCTATGACCTTAGTTCTTGACATATGGTTCTAGTCTCACTTTCAATAGCAAGGATGGGTCCTCTGGCTACATACTTCCAAATTGATCGTCTAAGCGTTTTTTTTTTTTTGTTTTTTTTTTTTGTACAGGGTCTTGCCCTGTCACCCAGGCTGGAGGGCAGTGATGTGACCACAGCCCACCATGGGTCTCAACCTCCTGGGCTCAAGCAATCCTCCGATGTCAGCCTCCTAAGTAGCAGAGACTATAGGTCTGTTACCACACCTGGCTAATTTTTTTTGTATTTTTTGTAGAGACAAGGTTTCGGTTTGTTGCTCAAGCTAGTCTCGAACTTCTGAGCTCAAGTAATCCACAACCTCAGCCTCCCAAAGTGCTGAGATTACAGGCGTTAGTCCCCACCTCCTGCCCTAAGCCATTCTTCACAGTTATCATTATTTAACCGCCTTACTAAGTACCTACAAGGCAGGTGTTAGGAGTACAAAGATAAGGGTCTGCTTTAATTAGCTCATGTTCTCTGTTAGTTATTTTTTTTTTAACTTTTTTTTTTTTTTTAAAGAGTGGGTTTCACCATGTTGGCCAGGCTGGTCTAGAACTCCTGACCTCAGGTGATCCACCTGCCTCAGCCTCCCAAAGTCCTGGGATTACAGGTATGAGCCAACCCCCCCGCCCACCGGCCTCTGTTAGGTATTTTTTAAAAGACCAGTTGATCATGTCACTTTTCAGCTCAAAACCTTCAGAGGTGATGGCTACAGGATCCAGACCTCCTCAAACAGAATTCTAGGTCTGTCATGATTTTACCTCCACCTACCCTTTCAGCCTCACCTGGTCCCACCTTCATGCACTTTCTGCCCAGACACACTGAATTCATGGTCATGCGGAGAATGTGCCACACCACTCTGATGATTCTTGGCTTATATGGTTTTCTTATGCTCACTGCTCACCTGAATCATCACAGTAGTTTATAAAAGGTACTCGATAGTTGTTAAATCAATAGAAAAAAAGACTACAGCAGTGGAGGTAGGGAGCAGTTTAAGGATTAAAACTTGTAGAAATGTTTGGGAGGCTAAGGTGGGTGAGTCACTTGTTCACGAGTTCAAGACCAGCCTGGGCAACACAATGAAACCCCATCTCAAAACAAAACTAAAACAAACAAACAAAAAAATCAGCAGACTGTGGTGGTGTGTGCCTGTAGTCCCAGTTACTTGGGAGGCTGAAGTGGGAGGACTGCTTGAACCTGGGAAGCAGAGGTTGTAGTGAGCCAAGATCGTGCCACTGCACTCCAGCTTAGGGGAAAGAGTGAGACCCCCATCTCAAAAAACAAAAAACCACCATCACTATCACCAAAACTTGTAGAAACACAGACCAGCTGTGGTGGCTCACGCCTATAATTCCAGCATTTTGGGAGGCCAAGGCAGGAGGCCTATCTCTACAAAAAAAAAAAAAAAAAATAGCTGGGTGTGGCGGTGGACACCTGCAGTCCCAGCTACTCAGGAGGCTGAGGTGGGATCTCTTGAGCCCATAAATTCAAGGCTGCAGTGAGCTATGATTGCACCACTGCAGTTCAGCCTGGGCAACACAGCAAGACTGTTTAAAAAAACAAAAACAAAAGAACAACAACAGCAAAAAAAACCTTGTAGAATTGTAGAAATGTTGAGCAAAACTCAGAACATGATAAACTGGGCTCTGGGGTTATATAAAGAATTACTGGATTTTTGAATTTGTAGTTTACTTAACAGAATAGGATTGGGTCTCTCTGCTAACACAGAATTTATCCATCGTACACTGTAATATCATCAGACAAGGCAATCTCAAATTATTATCAGGAAATTATCAAGAAATAGGGTACGAGTAGATTCAAATACGAATTCATCTTCCACTTAACTAGCTTTTAAAAATAAAGAACTGTAATACAACGCAAAGAGCTAGTGCTTGGTAAGCATATCATTATCTGTGGGTTGTTAATTTCACAGGAATGAAGTATCTTGCAGTTGCACTGTAGCCCAAAAGAGAGAGCACAGTAAAATCCCCAGGAGCACTGCGAAGGCTCATGAGAGGCCCTGGAGCTCTTCAAAGAGTCTCCACCTTATTCATGCACTGCCCACAGTTCTCACCTCTTTTAGCTTGTCTCCCTCTTCAAGCCTCAAGCGCTGACGTTGCCACAGTTGCATTAGGTCAGCCTTTTCTCTGACTCCCTCCAGCCCCCTCACCCCTCCCAGCTTCCAGCAGCCCAATCACCATCTAAAAATCCTGTTGCTGGCATCCGGGGTCTCTTAGGCAACAATGTGTGGGCTCTTGATTGGCCGCGAGATCCAGGAAGGCTGGCTACAAAATTGGGCACGGGGATAAAATTAACAAGCGTGGCGGCCAAGAGCGTGGGAGGGATTGCAATGTCTCGATATAATCCCAGAATGAAGATACGTCGTGTCCTGAAACAAGCAGCGTTGAAAGCTTCATTCAAGACGCAGTGTGTCCCAAATCAGCCCCACCTACGGAGCATCTCCAGTCACATTGTCCCAGTCCCTCTGGAGCTGCAAAACGCAGGCTCCACTGTGCCAGGTTTTAAGAGTGGCCAACAGGTAAACAGAGGGTTGGAGGAAAAAGAATTCGAGACTGGTTCAATGAAAGAATAGCACCTGCAACAGGAAGTGTAAGGATGGGGCCAGGAGGAATTGCGCAACACACAGACACCCAAATGCTTCAATGCAAATTTCAATGTATTAGATTATAGAATTCACGCTGGCTGACAGATACACCAGGGAACCAGCAGATGGCATGCCCTAATAAGAATAACTAAATGTGGGAACTCTTAAAATCCTGTCCAATTCATTAAATGTATTGAGCGCCTGCCTTGTAATAAGAAGCAGAATGAGAATACAAGGTTAAAAAAGAAACCGAAAGAGGAAGACTAGAAACTGCAATATACAAATAACTAATAGAAGGCTCCCACAGGTAACAGCTGTTGCAGAGTTATGAACAAGTGCTGGAGGTTACCAACAAGTTCAAAATTCCAGAACAGGTTCTTTTGTCAGTGTAAAGCAGTTCTTACAGGCGGCAGTCAGCAACAAGAAAAAGCAAAACAAAACAGCAACAAAAGACTGTCCTCACTATGTTTGTTTTCCTACATAAATAAGAATGCATTCTCCTCCGACTTAAAGGTACAAATCCTGTGTTTCTGTTGTGTTTTATAGTTTTTATTTTTATTTTTGAGGGGACGGAGTTGCTCTTCTCGCCCAGGCTGGAATGCATGGGGCGATCTCGGGTCACTGCAACCTCTGCCTCTCAAGTTCAAGCATTTCTCCTGCCTCAGCCTCCAGAGTAGCTGGGGTTATAAGCATGTGCCACCACAGACCCGTTTTATAGTTTTTAAACAGGAAGCATTTGTATATCTTCAGTTTAAAAAGAAAACGTGAAGCTCATAGAAGTTGTTGCTTTCCTTAGGTTAAAAAGGATCAGTGGCCAGGCGCAGTGGCTCGCCCCTGTAATCCTACCACTTTGGGAGGCCAAGGTGGGCAGATGGCCTGAGCTCAGGAGTTGGAGACCAGCCTGGGCAACACGGTGAAACCTTGTCTCTACTAAAATACAAAAAATTAGCTGGGTGTGGCAGTATGTACCTGTAGTCCCAAGTACTTGGGAGGCTGAGGCAGTAGAATTGCTTGAACCCAGGAGGTGAAAGTTGCAGTGAGCCGAGATTGCGCCACTGCACTTGAGCCTTGGCGACAGAGCGAGACTCTGTCTCCAGAAAAAAAAAAAAAATCAGTAAGTGGCCAAACTGAAATTAAAACCAAGCTTGTTTGAATTCCAGCCTAGTGATTTTTTCCACATGACCAGGTTGTACCTAAATGAATAAACAAAGCCTTGGGGGCAGGGGCGGTGAGGGGGCGGCCTGGGGGAAGTAGGTAGATGCAATACTAAATTACCATGCATTACCAGTTAGCTTTTGTGGTTTCAAAACAGGTTCATCCAGAAAGAGACCCGTTTTAACAGCATCGGGAGTGCTGTGTGAAGTTCCCGCTCATTAAAGACTTCGTATTGGTGGTTACAACATGGAATGAAAGAGACATGGGATTATAGAGAGCATCTCCTTTAGCCCTGTTGGATTTGAATATTTTCATCCCTGAAAAGGCGGCCTCTTTCTTCCTGCCTCTCAACCAACGCCTTCTTGGCCTCCTCTTGTCCTGCACCTCATCATCTGACTACTGTCCTCCCAAAAGAACTTGAGCCACTCGGTCCACGCCGGCTATGTTCACAGTGAGCTCAATGTCTGTGACACTGTAACGTTACTTTCTTTATTTTAAGAGACAGGAATGGCTTTGTCGCGGAGGCCACAGTGTAGTGGCACAACAATAGCTCACCACAGCTTTGAAATTCTGGGCTCAAGCAATCCTCCCAGGCTATTTTTTTAATTTTTATTTTTGTAGAGACAAGATCTTGCTATGTTCCCGCAGGCTGGTCTCCAACTCCTGGCTCAAGAGATCCTCTTTCCTCACCTTCCCAAAATGCTGGGATTACAGGCATGCATCACCTTGTTCAGTCCCAAACATTAATTACTTTTAAGGGGGATATTTCAAACAAAAGAAAGGTTTGAACACTTTCATAAGAAACGCCCTTGATTCTCCACAGAGATTTTTAAACAATGTTACATTTGTGTGTATTTCATAGATACAGTAGAACCGTCTTTTGTCTCATTCCCCTCCCTGCCCTCCTAGAGGCAGTCATTGTCACTGGTGTGCAGCCTTTGTCCTTTTTAAGCTTTTATTGTATGTAGATTTGCCCTCATAAACATTATATAGTATTGCTAGTTTTTTTTTTTTCTGAAGAGGCATCATCACTTACATGTATTGTGTTGTTTTTTTTTTTTTCCACTCAAGGTTCCTTTGGTGAGATTTAGTCACAACGATACAGTAGTGATCATTTCTACATCATTCCCACGACGTTGAGCTATGATGTGTCCTATGCCTCAGTGTTTACAAGATGGTGCGTAAATTGAATAAAAAAGCACGTCACAGCGCATCTCCAGAGGTTCCCCAGCTACAAGGGATCTGACACACACAGTTCCCCCACACTATCTGCCCCCTCTTGTCCTGCACCTCATCATCTGACTTCTGTCAGAGGCACCGCTGGCTCCAGAGGATACACTGCTTTGCCTAGAATCAACCAAGAATCGATATTATTTTAAACATTGTTTACTGCACAATAATTTACTTATTACAGAAACAAACTGTCATTTCAGATCTCATTTATCATGCCTGTTCACACAGGTGATCACAAATCACCTTTTGATGTGAAACTCTAGGTCTAACTCTGAAACTCTTCAACATTTACTTAACATGTATCAATCAAGCGCCTTTCTAAAAAAATTTGTAAAATACACGTAACGTAAATGCACCATCGTTACCATTTTTAAGCGCACAGTTCTAATCGTGCTAAGTCCATTCACATGGTTCAATTTCTCTAAGTCCTATGTGCTACCAACGGAACAAAATGATACCCATGAAATCTAGGTTGAGGAGAAACGAAAACGAAGAGAAAGAAAAGACAGGTCAAACCGTGCAGTGAAAAGACAAACAACCCTAGGTGGGAATGAATCCAGGCCCTGTCGTTAAAACGCTGCATGGCTTTGGGTAAATCTAACCTTTTGGGGCGTTCTCTTCCTCGTCTGAAAAATGAGAGGTTCGGTTTTGATGACCTTGGAGAACTCTTTCAACTCTAAAGCCATCTATGTAGAAAAGGAGAGGAAAAATATTTCCTCAGGAGCAAAAATGGGGCACGCACCAGTACCACCCAGCTCCACCTGTTTTCTAAGATCTTGGCCAAGAGCTTAAGAACTATCCCGGGCGAGTAGCCTGTTTTGTCTGCTACCCAGTTTCGCGTGGAGCTCTGCAGCTGGCCAGGTGCCACCACCACCTGCACCCCATTTCACCCTCAGCATCCGGGGATCTGCCTCTTGAGCACCCCCAATCCCCAGGTCCCAGGTCGGCATCTCTGGTTCTCAGACCAGTTGTGTTGTCCTGCAATCACAACATCCACGCTGTGTCATATGGCGAGAGAGTGCATTGTGAAGAGGGCCCCAAGTGCAGCTCAGATGAACGCCTCCAGGGCTCAGAAAGAGCACGCCGGGGCAGGGCAGCTCCAGCCGTCAGTCAGGGTGCGAGGCAGAGAACAACGAGGCGCGCCCGGCCAGCCCTGCGCGCCTGGGCTCAAAGAGGGAGCGCTCGGCCGAGCGTGCTCAGTGCGCCTGCGCCGTGCGTGGGCGCGCGCTCGTACGCTCGCTCCCCGGGCGGCGCGCCTCGGCGCTCGCGAAAGCTCGCGGTTGCTCCGAGGCGCGCGCCGGCGGTCCTCGGCCGCTCCGGGTACCCGAGGGACGGGCGGCCGTCCCCGGCCGGCGCTGCAGCCCCCACCCCTTGGAGCCAGGGGGCCGGGGTTTGAGGTGAGCCCCCCGAAGCGTGCAGGCCCCCATGCCGGGGCGGCGGGAGAGGGAGCGGCGAGTGTGGAGCCGGAGGAGGCGCCTGCTGCTCCGCCTCAGCCCGCGCTGAGGAGCCAGCAGCAGCCCGGCGCCTCCTCCTCAGGGATCGTTTCTCTCGTCGCGGCCACAACAAAAGCCTTGGGCGCCGGGCTGTGGCTGGCGGCGGAGCGGGGGCCGGGGCCCGCGGTGGCGGCCGGGGGGGCGCGGGGACGCCTAGTTTGGGGCTGAGGGCTGACGCGGGGAGCTGCCCCGGGAGACTGTTAACCCCGTCCGCCCTGAGCCGGCGCTTGGCAACCTGTGCGAGTGTGGACCGCGGTTCGCTCGCCTCCATCCCGGCCCAGACCCTGCGAGGCTGGGAGAGGGGCCCGGCCGGAGCCGGTGGCAACGTGGGGCGCCGGGGGGCGTGGGCGGAGGACAATGCGCGGGGGACTCCTGGCCGCCCGAGGCGCGCGCCGCCAGGCTCCAGGCTCCTGCTCCGGTCGGCGTCGGGCCCACCTTTGCCTGCCCACGCCTGAAAGTTGTCCCCCTCCCGCCCATCAGTTTCCAAAGTCCTTGCTGCCTTCCGCGCGCTTCCTCCGGCTGCTCCCCCCCCCCACCGCGGGCTGTGGGTTTGCCGTGGAGCGGGCGCTGGTGGATCCCCGAGGGGCGGCTTCTGAAATCAAGCTGCGGTGAAACAGCCGGCCAGGTTAAGGAGCCTTGTGCCTTTCAAGACATGTAAACATCTTCCTAGAGGCTATTTCCATCTTAGGAGTCTTGAGTTCGATCCCCCGGTTGTAAGAGAAGGCAAGGGGGCTTTTCTTGGTTTTGTTATTAAGAACGAAAGCACGTGCCATGAATTGAGGCCGTGGAGTGGACTCCAGATTTAGATCTGCCCCGTGAAGGAGGTCCGGCGTTTTGCCCAGTGTAGAATGACTCTTTGGATTTTGGTTCCCGTCTGGATTGAGGGAGATGCAGCAGAGCAGAGCAGCGGCGTCAGTGACTGCTACGGCAGTGTTCAGACACAGCCTCGTCTTAGAGAAGTAGTTCTGATCCGGAATGCTTAGTGATGGGAATTGAATGACTTTGCAAGGCCAATATAATGTGAGCAAGGAAACAAAGACTTGACTACCCCTGGGGATGCAACGTCCCTCCCTCACCCTACTTTAGTCCTTGGTGGTGTGCTGGTGCTGCTTTGTAGGCTGGAAAAGGAATGGAAA